CCATGAGGCCTTCTTCACCAGCTATAGCTCTCTCCTTTCACTGAAGTCCTATTGTACACTGATGCCTTGGGCCCAGAACATAAGCAGATGGGTGTCTAGGCATTGTTCTTACTAACTACCCAGAAAACGGAGAGGGGGATATTCTCTACCAAAGAGACTGCTCTGGCCTGTGGCCTTTCCCTTTGTGCTTCTATCCCTGCTTTTTGCTCTCCAGCTAACATAGCCTTGGTCATCTAGTAAGAGTAAAAAGGTGCTATTTTAGGAAGAGGTCTGGGGATGCACACTTTAAACAGGGTATTTAGCTTCAGGCTTTCATTATGTGAACTAGATAATTTATTAACCAAGCCCTTAGAAGTTTCAGTGTGTATTGGGCTGACTCATACCTTTAATTCTAATACTAAGGGTCCTTTTGGTCCTTTTGCATTAGTTAAAATTCAATGCAAATGCCTATTATATTTGCTTCTACTTTTTCTTATACTCCTAGTTCAAGTTAGAGTTATCTGTCTCTCAGGTCCCTTAGTCATTGAGGATCCAAAGCCCTTTATACTTGTATTTTCCAGTCCTACCTATTAGTTCAAATTCAAATTTGCTATGTCTTCAGTTCTGTAAGCCCTGCCTGACCCAGTCAGTAATATTCCCTGGTCTCCTACTCACAGAAATTTCTCTCTTCCCTGGGCACATAGGTCTCACTCAGTTACCCCAACATGCCTACTTTTCTTCTGTCATCCAGTTTTCAAAGTTTTTCTAATGGCCACTTCTTTTAGCTATTCAAGCTCTATTTGCCCCAGTTTCTCTGAGAGGTGGCATATTTCTTCATATTTCCACCCCCCCACACACACCACTTATATAAAGCTTTCCTTTCATTATTACCCCTAAGCCCTCAGACTCACAAATCTAGAACCTGGATGACATTTATCTGATCAAGCTCCTCACCTTCATCCTCTCCTAGCTCAGCAACATATTTACATATTGCTAAAACCAGAAAAGAATCTCTGCCAAGTATCTCTGCCAAGAAAACCCCATATGGGGTCAGAAAGAGTTAGACATGACTGAAATGGCTGAACAAGAAGAACAACATCTAATTGGAATTATGGATATTATATTTGTAATCCAAGTACTGAAGCCCACTGGTACGTGAGTGTCTCCTCACTGATGGAGATCAACGTCTGGCAGGAATTCTTGAGGAATGGGTTGGATTTGACGAGAGCAAGAGAGGACAGAAATCCCAGGTTCTTCTAGCTTCCTGCTTTGAAATATGTTCAATGCCAACCTCTTTTCAAGTTACTGAAGGGAGAGAAAGATTTTGGGAAGAAATTGTCATGAGAGGAGCAGGCAATCTCTAATGTTCCTAACTCTAGTTTTTGCTTTATTAGAGACTTCAAGGGATTTCCCCTTGGGTGAAATCTATGATAATCTCTCTTGGTTGAACTGAGCTATCTTGCTCCCAATGAGAGAGCTCCTTCAATCTGTACCATCTGGTATATATTCCCCTACTTATCCTTTCTCTGATTTCAATTTTGCCATTGACTTTGATAAATGGGTTACTTTGCTATTTGTTGTATGTGTTCATTGTAGAAGAGACATCTGATGGGAAAGGGGTCAAACCTTGGATATAGAATTTGTCTCCCTCCCCCTCCCCATTTAACTTCCCCATTAATGAGTAATGATCAGGTTTTGCTTGAACCTTAAAATTATTTCCCTTAGACTAAGAATATTTAAGGGAACACATTGACATAATTGTAGCCTGGTACCCCTTCTCTCTGAGGAGAGCAAAATGGCCAGCCTCTGACCCCAACCTTCTCCTTTCCTTCCTGGCAGGACTTAAAGTGTCCCTTGGAGAAGGGTGGGGGTGGGGTGAGAAGGAAATGTTTGGACATGCTCCATATTCTTAACTTGTCCAGGGATGAGCACATCTGTTGGGGTGAGGGTAAGTGTTGCCTCCTGTGCATGTAGCTGCTATCACAGGATGTACAATATTAATGGTACTGTAGCTTCCTGGATTGTTCTCCAATTGTTTCATGCAAGTTGGTCTTCCTAGGTAGACAGTAAGTTCTTCAGTAGTGAAAATGGCACCTGAAACTTTTTTTTTTTACTTTTCTACAATGACTTGCACAATGTTGGGCCAAGAGAAGATGCTCAGTAAATAATTGAATTATTTCCTTTCAAAAGGAAAGGCTAGAGCTGCAGGAGTCATCTTTTTAGTATGGTCCTCACAGAATGCCAGAAGGAAATAGATCTGGATTCTTCCTCTGTTGGCTGTCCTCTTCTCCACACCCATTCAGCCTTAATTTCATTAAGGATGGTGGCAGTTGTCCCACAGCTGGGGCTGAGAACCTGCTAGTCATATTTTAATCACTGCCAATAAACTGCTGAACCGTTTGGGCCCAATTTCATTATTTGTAAATCAATAGACTGCAATTTCTTTGAGAGCCGGTCCTGTGTTGTCTTTCATCTTTACGTTATTAGTGCTTACAATAGTGCTTTTGCTCATCTGGGAGCAGGAAGAAGTCCTATAATTTCATTTTTATTAGAGAACTTGGTGTGGAAATTCTCTTCATCGTATCAGAAATTTGTAGCATGGACTTCCAACAGACATTCTTAACTCGGGGTCCATTGACCCTTTAAAAATTCTTGTCAGTCAGTCAATAAACAGGAAGTGCTTGCTATGGGCCAGGCACTGAGTTAAGTTCTGGATATACAGAGAAAAAGAAAAGACATTCTCTACCCTTGAGGAGCTCACAACCTAAAGGAGGAGAAGACATAAAAAGCTTAAGCAATACACTTTGATAAATGTGTTTCCTTTTAATTGGTTTTCTTTAAAATTCTATATATTTTACTGTATTCTTTTAAAAGTACTATTCTGAAAGGGGGGTCCATAGACTTCACTAGACTGCCAAAGGGGTCCAAGACAAAAATAAGAAAAAAGCTTAAGAATCCTTGTCTAAGAGAATTGCCTGGGAGCACTGAATAGTAAAATGACTTTTCCAGGGTCCCACAGTCAGTATGTGTCAGAAACAAGACTTGAACCCGGGTTTTCCTGACTCCGAGTCTGGTTTTGTATCTCCTAAGCCACTTTTCCCTCTAGCTTTGTACATAGTAAGAATTCAAATGCTCGTTTCTAGGTTTGTGGAGGTAGGAGAACATAGCCCAACCTCACAAGGCTATTGCATGGAATAATGTTTACAAGTTGCTTTTAATTTTCTAGAAACCCTTTGCTTTTCACTATATCCTCATAATGATGGTATGAGGCAGGTAAGGCAAGAAACTTTGACCCAGAGAGGATTGGCTTAGTAAGGTTACTCATTTGTTGCAGGAAGATCCAAGATTAGAACCCAGATCTCCTAAGTTCCAGCCTCACAGTTCACTTCTGGGCACCAACACCTCAACAAGTAACAAAGGACCGGCAAGTACTTTGTAGAATGGGTTCTGCTCACATTAAGTATTCATTACTTATCTGTTGAGGTAGATATATAAGGAAGGACATAAGCTTCCAACCAAGTAGTCATCTGGTTCTTAGCTTCACCTTCATCATCCTCTTTGTGGAGCACCATTATACTTCAGGAAGGCATTTCCTCCTTTACTAGGTGCCTCTTGTCATGGGGCTTTAGCTGTCCTTTCCTGCCACGAGCCTTCTTGTACAAGCTCTGCCAGGCTCTCTCCAGCTGTGTGCTCCAGCATTTTTCATTAGCCTCGCCTTTTCATGGGGACTGTCAAGTCAGCCAATCAGTATTATTTGTCTCCGTCTCCAGCTGGGTCCCCCCCACCCCCCGATATGGGGCCATTTCCTGGATCTGGGACTGAACCAGTGCTGCAGTTTCTGAAATATTAATGGTTTCTTTTGTAAAGGACAACACACTGAGTCCTTTTGTCGCAAATTAAAATCTCCAGCAGGAGGAAAGGGAAGAATGGGGTGGAGAAGTCTTTTTTCCCAATTACTCTGGTTCATTCTAAAAAGATGCCCCAGTTGAAGCCTTGGGAGCCTAAAGTTAAAACTAATCAAGCACTTAACTAATAATAATTAATATAATAATAATTAATAACTCAATGAGCATTTACTAAGTACCCACTATGTTAGACACTATATAGAATCAAAGGTTTTAACATAAAGTACTTTGCAAACCTAAAAGTGCTATATAAATGTTAGCTAGTATTATTATTAATGCTTATTACAATGATTATGCGATAGGGATGCAAATGTGAAAGTTCTTGCCCTCAAAGAGCTTACATTCTTTTTTTTGTTTGTTTGTTTTTGGGTTAAGCTATGGGTTTAAGTGACTTTCCCGGGGTCACATAGCTCGTAAGTGTCAAGTGTCTGAGGTCAGATTTGAACTCAGGTCCTCCTGACTCCAGGGTGGGTGCTCTATCTACTGTACCACCTAGCTGCCCCTAGAGTTTCCATTCTTACAACAAATAAATTATGTCAGAGCCTCCCCATTAGAGTCCTTGTGGATTGGATTTTTCAGGCTTCTCTGAAAATCTTGTTGTTTGTCTTTCATTCTCGAAGAGGACCATGACATCAGGAAGATGATGCCATGTTTGCAGGTGAATTGGATTTAAGTGAAGGAGGGCCACGCAAGGCCACCAGCCTCACTTTCTCCTTCAGAGCTATCTGGGTCGAGTGGCAGGATATATATCAGGACAACTGCAGAAGGTCCTGGATGCAGTGGGATACCGTGGCCTTTTTCCTCTGAAAATTTGATCAGAAGCTCAATGTCTTATTTTATAGAAGGCACACAGGATGATGGCAGATTTCTGTGACTTTTGCACTTATTTCCATCCTTCTTCTGGAACCTTTGGGAAAGGGAAAGAGGAAAGAACAGAGCAGGGCCAAGACAAAAAACAAAAACAAATGGGACTCCCTGGCAAAAGTAAGGGGAAAGGCCTTTGGGAAAAGTGGAAGAAGATGCCAAAAAGACAGAGTTAAACTGGAAAAAAGAATGAGTTAAGACTGGGAAGGAGAGTGTTTGAGAAAAGAGGGAAAAAAGACACTGACAGTTATAAAATAGTGGATTTTTTATTTAGTAGTTTGTTTATTCTGTTTATGGTCTTGTGCCAAGTGATAGGGACTGAAGGTGTCATGGGGTGGGGTTGGGGTGGAGGTGGAGGACTGTTAACATGTTTCCCACATCTACTGCCTTTCTTTTGTCAAAGGATCCTAAACTCAAGAGGGAGAGGGTCCTGTTCCGAAGGCCCATTTCCCAACCATAACCAGAGAGTATATGGATACATCCAAATAACAGAAGAGTTTCCCAGGGAAACAATTTAGTAAGGCAGCTGTCATAGGAATATCTCCTGACTGTGTGCCCCTCTCATGTCCTGTTGACTATTCACATCTTACCTTCCACCTTCCCAGATCAGAACCTCAGTGGAGTGACCTCAGGCAGTGGTAGTGGTCAGAACTCCCCTGCTTCTCATCCCAGAATTCTCAGCTGATCACAATTGTCGAGTTCTCTCTCTTTTATTTCTTTTCCCTGTACATTATCTTAAACAACTATATCTTTTTTCTCCCTTTTTTGTCCTTTCAATACACACACATGCATACACATACACACAAACAAGCATACACAAATGCACACACCACTTTCATCAGCAGGCATAATGATTCATATCTCTCTCTTAAAGACAGGAAATTATTTTAGCCAACTATGGTCTCTTCCTCTCTTCAAACCCTTGAACCTCCCCTTGATTTCCTTCCTACCCCATCACTACCAGAGTACAAAATTCAAATACTCCCCATGTGGCGCTGCATGGAAAGAAGACATTCCTGGTTAAGGTAGAATGACAAAAAAAGTTTGATTCAAATACATAACAACTAGATGTGTTCTTCATCTTTCTCCACCTAGAGCCCTCTGCCCCTGCCTTCAGCTTATTATATATTTCTTAATATTAGTTGTTTGCTAGTAATGGCACATCTATGATAGGCCCTTCACAAAACTAGATTCTCTTGTAGCATAGGGAACAGGTGTAATACATACATGATATAATACAGGAAGCCATTGACAGACATATAAGATGGTCTCTAACCGAAGCATCAACAATGAGAAAGGAGATTTAATGAAACCTATGGGTTTAATTAGAATGGTGGTGCTAGGAAGAAAGGCCAAATGGGCTGATGTGGCAGTCAATAACTCAGGGAGGGAAAGAGAGAAGACCGGCTCCTTCTGCAGGAGGTCCTGCTGGTCTGGTGATGAATAGAGATGGCTTTAGTTCTCTCCCCAATCCCCAGACTCTCCAACCAGCTTTGGTATGTGACATTCTAAACATTTTCAAATTCACAGTCATAGTCTGTCATCCGACACATTATGAACTTCCACTGACGATCCCTGTGGGGAGAGAGAAAAGGACAGAAGGGTGATGTCAAAGACATGGTAGGCTGCTTCGCAAACAGGGCAAATGAAATGAAGACAAATTCCTCAGGAGCCAGTGTATGACTGACCTGCTAGTCAGAGAAAGGAGAGTTTGGAGAGACAGTAACAGTTAACAGGTTACTTTATGTAGCAATTTTAGAGCACTTTTGAACTTCAAGGTTACCCTTTAAGCTAGATAGTGCAAGTATTATATTACGTGATGGGAAATTGAGGCTTACAGAGCCTGAGTCACAACTGAGGTTCACAGAACCCAAAACATGACTTGCCCAAGGCACATAGCTACTAAACTGAAGAGCAAAGTCTATACAAAAATCTATGGATCATAGCTTTAAAATACCCAGTTTTTAGAGGGCTGTGATAGTCAGTGCCCTAGAGGACTAAAGATCACTGCTGGTGAACCTGGTAGTTTTGGACCTTACTTCCCTCTGTTTAGGTTGTTAATGGACAACTAGATATCCAAGTCTCTAGCTATGTATGGCTACCAACAGGGACCAATTCATCACAGTGAACTAAAAGAAGTCTCCCAAGATTAAGGATAAAATCTGGGAAAAGAAGGCATTTAATCCATTTTTTAAAATAGCATGGCCCTCAATGCATTGACAGTTTCATTTAAATAACCCTATATTGGTTGAGATAAATGGAGCAATATATGAGAATCATGAAATGAGGAAGGGAATTAAGAAGAACCCCAAAGCATTGGGTGGTGGGTATAGATGGTCAGACTTCTGGTCAACTGTAACACTTGCCCTAGAGTGTGCTGACACATCCATAGGTGATCACTATGTATGCCAGTGTTTCAAGAGACTCTTGTGGGTCAAGCAGAAATCATACTGAGATATTTGTTTGTGTTGGAGATAGAGAGTGGACACGATTGCCCAACCTTTTAAAATTCAGCCTAGTTTCCCAAGAGTGTTTTATATCTACTAATGAGATACATGTGTTTTCTAAGACAAAAAGCAGGGTGTAATGAAGAGAAGAGTGACCTGGCAACAGGAAAACCTGGATTCAAATTCCACCTCAAATACTTAATTGGCTGTGTGACCCTGGGAGAGTCATTGAGCCTCACTTTCTCCCTCTGGGGTAGCGGCAATAGGAGAATCTATTTCACTAAAACTTTGCTCACTTTAAAGTGCTGGATATATATGAACTATTATTATTTACCTTAGCAGAACTGTATTCTCTTTTTCTACTCCCCTCAAACAAGATCTTGCTACCCCTTCTAATTCAGCACAGAATATCATTTAAAGCCTACTGGCTATAATGGTTGGTCCTACCACAGATGTAGCCTATGGAATACTGGCACTTGTAACCCTGGCACAACTTCTGTTAGTGTTATTCTATGCATGATAACCTCAAAAAAGCAGTTTGGGGGAGAGTTCCCAGGAGGTTGGCTATTACCGCTCCCTCCCCAAAGTTAAGGAAAAATAATAAAAATTCAGATTGCTCTACATACCACCAAGGAAATGTTCTACTGTTCTGTGGGGTGGATGTTCAACTCTGGTACTGCCCCTCTCTCTCTTCAGTCTGCAGAGGGTGCTTGCTCTACAAGAACCATCTATCTTTCTTCCCTAGATGGGACTCCTGAGCCTTACTTCTAAAGGCCCCTCCTATCATCCTATGAATGGGAAAGTGGGTGGGACCACTGTCAATATCCCTGTAGCCTTTGTATAAATTGTACAGATGGCCCACAGCAGTCTTCCTCATTCCTCCCCCTGCTCCAAGGTTACCCATTTAGAACAATTTGGAGACCAGGCAAAAGTTTTTGAGAGCCTGGGTGGCCAACTACTCTTGACTGGTCTTGGCTCCTGCAAATATCAGTACAAGGAATGACTTGTATCTGGTTGGAGAGTAACCAGTTGGTGGTATGTGCATTTATCAGACATGGTTGTGTTAGGATGGTAGGTATCTGGGATACCAAAAGTTATAAACAAATAAGGTCCCAAGTCAGGGCATTCATACTACTGCTTCAATAGGCTGTTAATTTGTGTTGGGCAATGTTCAGAGGCAGTTTGAAAAGGCATTCCAGGGGCTCTGTTCCCAGTGCCTCTCTAAAGGGAAAAAAGGAGCAGTTTTCATTTAGAGGGCAAGAATATGCCAAGTGCACTACATTTAGGAAGTATTTCTCAACTTGGAGTTTCTGGAAGATTGTAATAGGGGGTACAGGGAATAAAATGGTAAAATTCCAAATCTTGATTTGTGGGTGCAGCAGTAAACTTCGGGGTATGGGTAAGCCTCATTGTAAGCAGACCCAATGTCATCATATCTCACGTATTCAACACCAGACAGGAAATCTTAATTGAAGTTCACTCCATTAAATGACAAAACATTTCTTTTCTTTAACCACTTACAATGGAAATCTTTCCGAAATATAATCATATACTACCTGCTTTCTTAAACAAAAAGAAACTAACTTTTTTCTTTATGAATCAGGGTCTTCATTAAGAGGATAAGATCCTGGATTTAGTAACTCCATCCTCCTTGCTGTTCTTCTCTGAAGATCTCCATCTCCTGACACTAAGTATTTGCAATGGCTAATCCCCATGCGTGGAACGTTCTCCCTTTTTATCTTCCTTCAATTCTCAGCAAAAATGCCACTGTCTTCAAAAGTCTTTCCCAGTCCTCCTTAATATCAGTGCCTTTCCTCTGAGTTTAATCTCTCATTTATCTTGTATGTATCTTATTTGCATATGGTTGTTTACATGATATCTCCCACTTTCTTATTAGATTGTAAGCTCCTTGAGAGTAGAGATGCTTTTTGCTTTTCTTTGTATCTTCAGCACTTAGCATAGTGCCTGATATATTGTAAGCACTTAACAATGCTTGTTGACTTGGCTCCTAGATTTAAAGCTGGAGGGGATCTTATAGGTCATCTAGTCCTAACCCTCATTTATAAAGGAGGAAACTGAGTTTCAGAGAAGCTTGGTAGTTTTCTCAAGGTCACACAGGTAGTTATCCATAGAGATAGGATTGGAACTCTAGTGTTCTGATTTTAAATCCAGTGTTCATGCCAATGTACTTCATTAGTTATTACATTGGATTATAAGGCAGTGATGATCTCAGAGGCTTTTGAAGTATATGGAACTAGGTTCCTTTCTACCAAATGGTTCTAGTCTGTAGATTTTTAACTTTGGATTTGCTTTTAAACAGTATCTTGAACTTCTACCATGTAACCAGGTTATTAGCTTCCATTTCTTACTGATATCTGTATGCCTGCCTCTGGTAATATACCCTTGGCCTTTGGAGTTGCTGTGGGTTGGGAAACTAGATAACCAAACTTGTTAGGATTGTGTTTAAAAGAAGAGTGAAGAGGCTCTGAGTAAAGGAGCTCTCATGGGTGAAGTATGTCTTTCTTAGTGCAAAAACTTTGCACCATACTTTTGCCTGCTCGGGGCAGAGAATGGTTAGGGTCTAATTTCCTAACAAATTCCACTCACCAATGGAGAAAGTAATTGGCAAAAATAGAAGGAAGGTCATGATAACTTTTACTTGTTATGAAAGTTTGAGAATCACTATACTAGGACTGATAGAAATTTGATGTCCAGGTCTAAAGTTGCCCTGCCTTAGATTAATTAGTTCAACAGAACAACTTAATTCTTTTTGCCTGAGTTGCTTCATCTGAACATTTGTTCCTAGCTAAGTCCCCTACCAGGCAAGAGAGTAAAATGAGGGTTACTGTATGTTGCCATTCCCACAAAGCCTTTCCCTGCTTCTCCATCCTCAACTCAAAGGGAAGACTGACTTACCTCTCCACTGCAGAGAAAGTGGTGGTCGCTCCCCGCATGTAGTATTCATAATTGTAAGAGATCATGTCTATCTCCTCACCATAGTGGCCTGGGTATTCAGTTGTCAACCTGGTGGGGGGAGATAGATAGAGAGATAGATAGATAGATAGATAAAGAGAGAGAGAGAGAGAGAGAGAGAGAGAGAGAGAGAGAATGAAAAAAAATGGGGGTTATTCTGGCAAGACAAACCAGTAGACACCATTTATAGAGGAATGAAGGCATTGAAATAGGCTGAGAGAGGTATAAAGTGTGCCTACTATAGGCCTGGCAAATTATCATGAAAGCACCAAGAAGAGTTAAGGAGGGATGCCAAGAACTCTACTGACTAACTTCTCCCTACATTCCCACCGAAGTGCAATTAAAAGGTATAATTTATCTCATAGGTATCTGGGTGGTAGAGTAGATAGAGCTCTGCACTTGGCATCAGGAAGGCCTGAGTTCCAGTTCTGCCCAATATACTTGCTCTCTGTGTAATTCTGGGCAAGTCACTTTACCTTTCTCATCTTCAGTTTCCTTGTGTGTAAATTAGGGATAATAATAGCACCTATTTCATAGGGTTGTTATTAGAATATATGTAAATCACTTTGAAAAATATAAGGTTTTACATATGTGTGTATGAATATACTTATACATATGTTTAGTGTATGTAGTTATTATTATTGTAAGTATTCTTCCCCGCCCACTAATAATTTTCTTCTTGTTTTCTAGGTTAGTTCACCTGGTCCATAGGATTCCCAAGGCCAAGTTGATTCTAGGCCCATCCTAGGGGTCTGAGTCCACATGCATCCATCCAGGGAGAAAGCTTGAGGTCCAAAGTCCTGTAGTTCCTCTCTGAAGAGTTATCAACTCCAAGGGCAACTCATCTTTGGTGTGTTCATTGGGAGTCTTTTAGATAAGAGCTGACAGAGACTGGAGGGTTTCCTATAGATTGAACTGGACCCCCAAGATCTGTATCTGCACTCTAAAATTGTCCAGAAGCTAACCTAGCCTCCAGAATGGCAAAAATTTTATGTTTCATGCTGACTAGGCTATTGTACATTAAAGAGATAAAGGATCTTATCTATGTGGTCCAATTGACTTTAGTTGAAAGGATGGGCTATGAAATCTATAGGGGCAGCTAGATGGCTCTACGGATAGAACACTGGGCTTAAAGTCAGGAAGATCTGGTTTCAAATCTGGCCTCAGACATTCATTAGTCGTGTGACCCTGGGCAAGTCACTTAACCTCTGTTTGTTTTAATCCACTGGAGAAGGAAATGGCAAGCCATTCCAGTATCCTTGCCAAAACAATTCCATGGATGGTATAGTCCATGGAAGACAGGAAGAGTTGGACAGACATAACTAATTGATTGGGCAACAAAAACATGAAATCTTGGAGATATAGAATGCTGTAATTGTAACGTCTTATAAATCATGTAATTCTTTTTTTTAAGTAAGGCAATTGGGGTGAAGTGACTTGCCCAAGGTCACACAGCTAGTACGTGTCAAGTGTTTGGTCTGAGGCTGGATTTGAACTCAGGTCCTCCTGACTTCAGGGCTGATGCTCTATCCACTGCGCCACCTAGCTGGCCCCTATATCATGTAATTTAAGCTCCTTATTTCATAGATTAGGAAAATGAGTTGAGGCCCAGAGAAATCAAGGTACTTGCTCAAGGTCACAAAGCTGATTAGTGAATGAGCTAGACTTGAGATCTCCTGACTCTTAGACTTTCTTTCTCCACTACACCATGATGCCTCTCTTGTTTTGCATTTTATCTCTGTTTAAGACATTACAATCCCCCTGTCAGGCAGCCAAGCCCAACTGGAAATGTATTGCATGTGTTTCTACTCATTGCGGTCATGGTGGGAAATTAGGCTCAGCCAAGTTCAGAAATCCATTCAATCTTTTCATTTCCAAATGGACTCAGACTTTCTGGGGTTTGGCTTTGTTTGCTCTGAGCTAAACATGGTTTCCTCTTTCTAATGAAAAACAACAGGCCTTATGAAATAGGAATTTGATGTCAAATGCGGGTCATTGAGAGCTCCTTAAAACAGACCCTACTAATTTTATGATCCCTGATAATTCCAAGAGAGGCTGGATAGAGTTTACCTACCTGGAGTGGGGGAAGTGGTGGTGCTGATGGTGGTGGTTGTGGTGGTGATGTTAATGGTGGTGGTGGTGGTGCTGATGGTAGTGGTTTTGATGTTGGTGATATTGCTTGTGTTGGTGATGGTGGTGGTAATGCAGAAGACAAGAAAAGTGTAAACAAGATTAAAAGGGGGATGATTATCAACTAAAATAACTGTTTTTGAGCACTTCAGAAGTTCCATTTACATAAATGCTATTAATGTGATTTATATGTTATTCTCTCTTTAACAAAATGAGACTGCTATTTGGCAACAATTTCCTTAATCTAAATCAAGTTGCTACAAATGTTTAGGAGTAAAATGTCTGTATTTCGTGAAAAATGTTTATAATTATTTAAGGCTTTGCACTTGGTTTTCATTAAGCTTCGTATGAAATAATGAGGAATTTTACTACATTGGGGCAGTTAAATGCCCCCTCCCCCTTTTTTTTCAATCAAGAGGGATTAACTTCAGAACAAGAAGGCTAGAAGAAAAACAACAAATGGTTAACTGGGAATTGAAACCAGATATAATTTAGGAGATAGGAAGAGTACCTGGATGATCTCATCAAGGTCAAGTCCTGAGGCCCAGATCAAAAGAATTTGAGTGTACTATAATTGCTGAGTCACTGTCTATGATCTGTTTAAAAATGTCATGGACACTAGGCCAGCTCTTACAGGACTGAAGGAAGACAAATGTTCTAATATTCAGAAAGGAAATGAAGGTGGAATACTTCAGATTGTTAGGTCAGAGAGCATGACTGATTTTAAGCAAAACTCTGGGAATGTGCTATTAAAGAGAGTTTTCTCTTGACAAAGAAAGTAGTGATAACTATGAGTTAGCTATGATAGGTTAAGATTGTTAATCATAATAACCTGTTTTCACTTTTTGGGGGGTATAGTTATTAGATGGTGGGTGAAGGGAATTTGATAAGAGTAAAGTGAATAAAAGCTTCTTAACATCAGGAAGTATTTTTAATTCTGTCTTTATATCCTTAGTACCTACTATTGAGGCTTGCATACAAGCTTAATAAATGCTTTGGGGGTCTTTGATTGATTGGCTTGGATTTCAGCAAAGGCCCCTCATGATACCTTTGTGAACAAGATGGAATAGTGTGGACTGAACATTCAAATAGATTAGGGACTGGTTAAATTATTGAGCTGCAAAAGGTGGGACTGGATGACTTAAGGTTAACCTGGAGTGATGCTACTAATGGTACATGGGGCTCTTCAACCATATAATTTTCAATTGTTTTTAATAGGACTTGGATGAAGACAGATGACAAGCTCATCAAAGTTGCAGGTTGGAGGTAATATGTTACACTGCAGAACTGGGCTTCCAAAAAAATCCTTGACAATTTAGGGCAATGGGCAAAACTAAACAAGGCATCATTTAATATAATAAATGTAAAGTCCTATGTTTGGATTTTTAAACATAAACTGAGAACATGGGGGAAGAGAATTCATGAAGGCAACAAAGTAAAGACATCTTTCCTAGAAAAAAAAAATAGCAAACAATAGAAATTGCAGGGGAGGGATTTTGAACTAACCACTTGACTGAGAGAGCGAGAAGAAGGGGAAAGGAGAGTGAGAACTAGATAATTAAATAGAAGAAAGAAAGAAAAAATCAATGAGCTAAGTGAAACTCCAAAACTAGGGAAAGAGTTCACAAACAGGACAAACAGGATGGGCTGAAGTGGGAGAAGAGTCTAAGTGAACAGGGTTGTATAAAATAGATTAAGCAAAACTAATCAAAGGGGCAAAGAGCTGACTTAAAAGAAAAAGGATAACAACATTAAAAAGCACATCTTTCAAAAATGTGGTATCAAAAATTGATCATCATATTTTTCTCATGTAGTCTAATCATACTACGTGACAGCTATAGCCTTCCTCATCTGGACATTAGCTTTCTGAGAAAACTGATTATGATAAAATGACTTTTTGGCCTCTCTTATGGCTCTGTTGGCTGACGCAGTTTTAAGTCTGCTACTTTTACTTCATAATAGTAATTGACACATAAGGAACACATTACATACGATATCCTATTATAGCCTTGCAACACCTTGATGAAATCAGTACAACAGATATTGTTGTTATTATTGTTCTGTTGTTTTAGTTATATCTGACTCTTCGTAACCCCTTTTGGGGTTTTCTTGACAAAATATTGGAGTGGTTTTCCATTTTTTTCTCCAGCTCATTTTACAGATGACAGAACTCAGGCAAACAGGGTTAAATGACTTGCCCCGGGTTACTCAGCTAATATCTGAGGCTGGATTTGAACTCAGGTCTTCCTGACTCCAGGCCCAGCACTCTATCCACTTAGCTACCTTACCACAGATATTCTTTTCCCAATTTTGTGGTGAGGAAACTGAGGCTCAGAGATATTTGTCCCCAGTTCCATAGCTAGCAAGTGTCAGAGGTAGAATACAAACTCAACCCTCCCCTGTCTCTTTCCCTTCTGGTTTAGTCATCCAATGTATTAATACTCCCTTTCAGTTTTATTTCATCCACAAATTTGTTGTGTGTGTTCTCTGTTTAAGAAAATCATTGATAAGCTTGTTGAATAAAACAGGATGAAGAACAGAGCATATGGTACCTCCTTAGAGTCCTCCCTTCAAATTAACATTGAATAATTGAAGCCACTCTTTGAATCTGATGCTCCAACCAGTTCCAAAGCCCATATGATCTTTTAGTCCATAGCTCTACAGAGCCTCTACATAGATTTGAGACTGATTAATGCCTTGTTAAAACAAGCAAACAAAAATGTGCTGACAGTGCTGATTCCCCAATCTAGCAACTAGTTCTCTTGTTTAAAAAGAAAATGAAATTAAGTTAATCTGGCATGACTTGTTTCTGCATTTGTATTGACTCATAGTGATCAATACTTTCCATTCTAAGTGCTTACGAATCACCCTGAATGTAGAATTCTAGAATTTTGCCAGGAATTGAGGTCAAGATCACTGGC